TACTCAGATGAAGTGAAACAGAAAGTAGCTAAATAGTATTGTGGTTAGTTTGAGATTAATAGCCTGTTTTAATTTCTTGCTTGGTAAGCTTTCTTTTAAATTATGAAACATGCAGTAAGAGAGTTGCTACTATATAGTTATTTATATATCATGAAAAATCTCAAGTTCTTGTTTCTTAATTAGCCTGTGAGTCATCTGTCAATCTTAAAAAAAAAAGCAATGCACAATATATCTCAAAAGAATTAAAGTATATAATAATTAAAGAATTCTTATACCATTTTTCTCATTTGTAAAATCTATTTCTCTTTGCAGATTTAATACAATTTCATATTATGTGAAGCAAGTGCACATATTTAATTTTGTTTTTATGATACTGTTTGATGTTTGTTATTATGATAATGTTGTGAAGGTATTTGAAATGTAATATGTAATGTTTTATCTAATTTCCAGGAATAAACCGTAAAATAACTTATTCCTTTGTTGATTCTGCCAATGGTAACTTCACCATCGATAATCAGACAGGAATTGTACGCCTCCACAAACCCTTAGATCGTGAACAAGTGGCATTTTACAACTTGACAGTTCAGGCTAGTGACTACGGAACACCTCAGCTCTCTTCTGTTGCTACTATTCTAGTCAGAGTACAAGATATAAATGATAATCCACCAGAATTTGCCCAAAAGTTCTATCATGCTAATGTCTCAGAAAAAGATGATGTTGGCACAGAAATTATTCGTGTCCTTGCTACAAGTAAAGATACTGGAGTGAATGCAGAAATCACATATTCTATTGTCAGTGGAAATGATTTTAGTGTTTTTATCATTCACCCAAAGTCAGGTATGACTTAACTTTTTATTATTGCACATGTGATTTTATGGAGTAAAACAATATACATGTATATGTAAAGGGTATATGGTATTACAAGAGAAAAACCCAGAAGAAGGGGGTGTGCCTGTAAAATACAAATAAAAACTTTTGTAACCCAAAAGGGATATGCCAAGAAAGTAACAATTAACATAAGAAAATAAAAAATAGATATAACTAGATTTCTTATTTTTCTGCATTCAGCATGCATCAAAAATATTTTTATTTATCATATCTATGTTGGAAATGTTTTATGCTTGCTTAAATTTATGTTTCCTGTAAATGTAAGTTTTCCATAATTCTCTTCAACCTTCTGTTTAGCAACTCTACACAATCTGATATTGCACATACAGTTTTTTTCTCTTTATAAATGTTCGATATTTTTCATTTCCACTGGTGAATAGTTGAAAAATTAAATCTTGTTTTTGCTCGTGAAAAAGTTTAGAAGAAAAAAGTAAATGTACAATAGAAAGATAAATGTAGAAGACTTAGAGCACAACTAGTTTACTAAGAAATTTAACTTTGGCAAGATTGAGATCTGAAAAAATTAGTTACATGGTATCTCTAGTTTTGTCAGCAGTTGCTTTATGTTTGAGATCTATTATTGGTTGATATATTTCCATAACACTGAGTTTGCGATATGAGTGTTAACTATTGTATCAGAAATAGACAAATATCACAAAAAGTACTAAATGATCTTTCTCTAATTATAATTGTGATTTGTAATAATAATGATGTTGAACACTATATTGTTAATGGAAGGTGGTAGTTCTACTTCTTTAATTAGGATAACACCTAAAATTTGCAAAAATCTTCTTTTGGCATGTATCAAAATTACATTTCATATAATTATAATTAAAAAGAGCATCTTTAGAAAGGATGAGTTACAATCACTGTACACCACAGGAATAAACAACAATAGCATTAAAACCATGCTAAGCCTATACTGTATTCCATAAACCACCCAGTGGCTCAATGGTAGGTATGGTGGCTTATAATACTAAAAACCAGGTTTTGATGCCCATGGTGGGCACAGCACAGATAGTCTGTTATGTAGGTTTGTGCTTAACAACAAACTAAACAAACAAATAGGCATTTTGTAATATGCTGTCATTTTTTTTTTTCTAGAAATTTATTATGCTATACAAACTTATCTGCAGTACATCATATTATAAAACCCACATCAAAGAAATGTACTGTGGATACAAGTACTACTGGGTTTTATAGTTACATTAAACCTTATATAATGTGTTTCTAAAAATCTTCTAACTATAATATATATATATTTATCTGGAATTTGTACTCATGCTTATTTTAATAATGATTTGTGGTATCCAGCATGCACTTAGACATCTGAATTTAAGTAATGTATTGCACATTTCCTTATCTCAGTTGTTTCTACAAAGTCAAAAAGATATCTAATAAAAATATTGCAAGAAATGTAAGCAGCACATGTTGTAATGTTTATTACAGTTATTGTTTTCAATTTTTATATCCTGTTTTCTCACTTAAAATGATTTTCTAGGAGTCATCTCAGTAGCAAAACTATTAGATTATGAAGAAGTCAAAGAATATTTCCTGACTATTGAAGCCAAGGATGGTGGAACGCCACCACTTAATAACCATGCCACTATTAACATATCTGTTATTGATGCTAATGACAATCCCCCTGCTTTTAACCAGCCTTCTTACCGAACTGTTATAAGAGAAGATGCATCTCCGGGTGATAAAATCATACAGGTGAGTTCTTTAGTTTGGAAATAAAACCTTTTAATTTTTTTACAAATTACATAATGTAATTACCATAAACACTTTTATATCATATCAGAAGTTCCTCTTCTTTAAAATAAAAATTTTCAAAACCTAATGTTTGAGAAAATTAAATTTGTAAAAGCTTATAGTATGTTTCATTGTCTCAATTATAATTTCAAGAGTAAGGAGGAACCCCTCCAAATCCCTTCCCAATTAGGAAAAAAAAAACCTGGTCTACTTTGTACATGTTCTTTGAAACATCCAGAAGAACATCATTTTATATAAATAAACATAAATAAAAAACTCACCACAAAATAATATACAGAAAACATCTTTTAACCTGAATTAAAGGCAATAAAAAAAAATTGCAGGCTTCAGTTCCAAACTAACAACAGAATCTTTATTGCTATTATTATTATTATTTTTTTTTTAATTTTGTTATTCTCTTACTGGTTGATTTGGCATAATTATGATATTGTAAGTTTGATTATCAAAAAAATATGGTAAATAGCCAGTAAGAGCTGTTAAGAACTCATTATACTCTCACCGATAAGTTTTTTGCTAAAGCTTTTATGTTTTAGTTCACTTAGTTGAAAACTTGATATTTTTACATTTTCTTCCCTTTTTTTTTACCCTCAGGTGAAAGCAAGTGATATTGACAGTTTTCCAAATTCACGATTATCCTACTCCATCATTGGTGGTGACAAGCATGGGCAATTTATTATTGACAAAGATAATGGCTACATCATAGTGGCTTCTCAGTTGGACAGAGAAATGGTAAAAATATAGAAATGATCAAATACAAGTACATAGATATCCTTTCAAAATCACCCTTGTTATACATACTTCTGTGTTATAGGTTGAGGGAGAGCATTTAGTGGGTTTTATGTAATTTGATTTTAGAAATCTAATGGTTAACAATCATAAATACTTTATTAAATGGCTGCTTAATATTTCATTCTTCAGACTTATTTTGAACCCTCACGTCTACACATTTCATTGTACAGAGTGATTTTGTTTTTGTTTGTTGTAACACTCAGAATGAAGAACTGACCAGAAGAACTGGGTGAATTCATTCAATTTTATGTAAAATACACAAGTAATCACCAGTGTTAATTAGTTGAACTAATTATGATACTGATAATATTTTTACTTAAATTTTTTGCGTGTGTCACATTATTAGGGACCCTGTAACCAACAAAGTCCTCATGGACCCACAGTAATATGTTGTTAAGTAGTTAAAAAAATGCATTTCAAAATATAATAGGACTCAGTTTGACCCCAACAATTATACATTTAATGTATCATCCTTCCTATGTACACTTGTATTTAACCCTATAAATATGAAGGTGGTCAATGTGACCAATCTTGGAACTGTAAAAATTGACATAGAATAACTCTGAACTTACTACATGTATCTCTACAAAATTTGGCAAACTTTTATTAAACATTAAAAGTCTGTTGTACAAAAAAGTCTAAGTTTTTAATAAATTATTTCAACAGAATATTTGACTGTAACTTTCCAAAGTCTTTACTGAATCAGCTTGAGTGAAAGGTGATATTCATGCTAAGAATAAAAATAGTTTTTTCATCTTACAGTTCTTATGTTTCATTTACATAACCTCTAGAACCTTCTTAATGAATATCAAAAATTTGTTTTTGGTAAAACTTTGTATTTTATCTCTTACTTTCTCTCTCCTAACACTAACTGTAGAGAAATTATCAATATACAGTGAAATGAAAAGTTGAAAAATATGAAATAAAATATCATTTTTTTCCTCCCCACTGATTCCACTATTTATCAGAAAATTTCATATTACTTAGCAGTTTCAACTATTAACCTTTTCACAGCTGCTTTGATTTTATGGTTTTATTATTGTAATTTGTACTTACTGGAGCAGTAATCTTATTGGTAAAAGCAATAAATCATAGAAGGAGCTCATTAGCTGTTTCCCATAGTGCTAATTGTAAACAGTACCTGATCTGAGGGTTATGTTTTACAACAAACTTGAGCTAGTGCAATTTTAGACATTTTACTTTTGTGAAGTTTTCTTTTGCTAAGCAGAGAAGTTCATAATTTTTACATCTTAGTTACTTTGTTTAAAAATATATAACAATAGATAACAAATACACCTAAACATAAAAGATTTGTAATACTCATTGCATATCCAAGCTTCATTGAGTGTCAAGAATTTGGGTGTACAAAACGAATTTGTTTCTTTCAAATATACATTTTATAACACAAAACATATATTGGTCACTAGAATAGAAAGTCTCAAAACTACCATAATTTATCTGGCTCTCTAAGTAAGCTACAAATAGGTTAAAACAATTCTGTTACTATTTGAAGTACCAAATTTGATCAGCAAAGACCAAGAAATTCTCTTCGACTAAAGGTTTATAGCAGAAAAACTGAGCACAGAATTTTAAGATTTACATAGAGGAGAATCTGCTATTTCTGTTATTTATAAACATGCTCATCAGCTATGTAAAGTTGATTAGTAAGAGATTAGTAAGTAAAGTTAGAGAGAAAGTAGAGGGACTTCTCCTGTGGGTTTGTTAAATTTATTGATATTTCAGCAAATCAAGAATTCAGGAGGAGGAGATTCAAATCTAAAATTCTTGATTGTAATTATGTACAGGTTGTGTTTTTTAATGGAAAGCTGCAGCAGCCTGTTTTAGAAGTTAGAAAATTCTGAAGTGGAGAAATTGGAACTCAGGCATATCATATGATAGAGAAAAATGAAGATTGAGATTTTTTAAATATTTGTTTTGAAATTAAGTAGTCAAACTTGTGATAATTTAAAAAGTTGAATTATAAACTATCTTTTAATGCCAAGTTTATTGATATACATTGATAATAGTTATTTAAGTCTTGAATGCAACACTATTAAAGGTTGTGACACGCACACATTGACAAACCTAAAACAAAGGTTGTAGAAAGTGAGTTCACATACCATTCTTCCACTCTAGATCTATACTTAATACCTCATTGTTTTATTCTAGACTTCTAGTTAATATCTCATTCTTCTGTTCTAAGTCTTCACATGGGTTTTTTATTGTTATTGTGTACTTTCAGTCATAATTCATTCTTCTTTTGTAGTGTCTAATTATTTTCATTTATTATTTAACCCATTGAGTGCTGATTCACCTTATAGGGTACATCCAGTCTGCCTCTGGCAGTTCAATGCAAGTGTGCCATATACGATGTATAGCTTGTACACTTAATATTTAGATCAGCTACAGTCAATGGGTTAATAGTTGGAATTTCTTCTTTGAAAATTAATATTTATGTATATTTACTAATTTTGTTCTGCCACTTTAGATTTCAACTTATGTTTTGGAAGTGGAATGTAAAGACAGTGGGACTCCTTCCTTATCCTCTGTTGTCCTGGTTAACATTGAAGTCTCTGATGTCAATGATAATCCTCCTGTATTTTCACAAGCAAACTATACAGCCATTGTGCAGGTATGAATTTTAACATTAATTATTTTTGTATTTTTTATTCTTGACCATCTTTTGAAATTAATAGTTTTATATATGTGGTGAAGTAATGAAATAATCTTTAAGATTGAAAGCATTGTAACTGGTCTATTGAGATTTTCTTGAAATTTAAGAAAACACTTCATTGGTCATCAATGTCATTTTTATTATTCTTCTGTAAACTGTATAAAGTATATGCAAGTATGTGTAGCCAACTTGACAAAGGAAGGAGTTAAAGTATATAATAAAACTTGTTTTTGCATACAAACAAATGAAAAAAGAATAAAAAATATTTGAAAATTGTTCTTAAAATTATACTAATAGTAGAAGGCTGTTTGATATGTGTGAAACGTAAGTATAATATTTCCAAATTTAACACATTTTTGATATATTGAGATATAGAAAAACATTTTTAGCCTCTTTATATTATGATTTTCATATAGTATTTTAGAAATTTGCAATAGATGTCACTTTTTTTACTCTAACAACACATGTTTTATACCCTGCATACATCACTGAAGGTGTTACAGAAAACCAATTGTTTTACATGTTTCTTTATTTCTGTATTTTTTTTACCAGCTTGATAAACTGGACACATTAGTAAGTAGAGAAATTTAGCACGTTTTAATCATAGTATGTCTTGTAAGTGATGAAAGCATGGTTATTACAACATACATTGACTTTTATGGCAGTGCTTGTGTTCAAATGCTTAGTTTGTGCTCTCTTCAAGTTTTTTTTTTTTCATATCAATTTCTCTGAACAAGTTTACTATTTATTATACAATAGTGATATTAGTAACTTAGTGATATACAATAGTGATATTAGTAACTTAGTGATATACAATAGTGATATTAGTAACTTAGTGATATACAATAGTGATATTAGTAACTTAGTGATATACAATAGTGATATTAGTAACTTATTCCGAAGTGGAATTACTTTATATTTCTACCCAGTTATGGAACTTAATACTTCATTACAAATTTTTTCTACTTTTTATTTCTTTCTACCAACGTGTTTTTGTGTTCGGTTATTCATTTTGAATTCTGAATTCTAAGTTACCACTTTGGAGGTTATATCTTCTATCAGTACATTTACACAGGCTTCTTTTACAAACTTTCTTGTATACTTCAGTGTTGATGCTTTGAATTCAGACTTTTGACTGGTTGTTATTGACATTTTACAATTGAATTTACAGAACCCATATGTCAACAGAATAGTTAAATTTTACTTGTTAAGGTTATGATTATAATGCATGTAAGATTTGTGATGTATTTTATTAGCTTCAAAAAATGTTAACTGAATATATTTTTTATTTGTTTTGTTCTGCCCATATTTTACTCTTAATTTGTTTTTAGAACTAGATGATTAACTCAATTAATTTATATAATTGATTACATCTGAGCAGCAAATACATTGATTAGTTTTACATTAAAGAATCAATTAATCAAAACTATAATTAAATTGATTAATGGCACAAAAAACAAACTAATTAAAGTTAGTGTTTCTGATTATTACTGTTTTTGATTGTTCCAACTAACTATCCAAATAATCGAAATATTGCTGTTATGATTTCTCATTATTATTTTGAAGTAACTCATTGTTGTTCAACTTAATTGGTAGTGTCATGACTCACAGAAATAATCAACTAATCGAAATGAGTATTTCTGGTTATTACTTTTTTTCAGTTATTCCAACTATTCAAGTCTCATGGTAGAATTGATTGTAATAAATTAATGAGTCTAACATTAATCATTTATCAAATTTCATTAATTACTCATCTGTAATTGCTGTACAAAGTTATAGCATGATATCAGTTGAGGGATATATACAAGATTCTCATGAACCTGAAAAATCAAGGAAATTAAAATTGGTTAGGGGAAATGAAGGTAATTGGACTGTTGGTCAGGGAAGAACATTTTTCCATGTTACAGAACGTTTAAATATGGAATAACAATACAGTAGTGAAATACAGAGTTTAAAATGTGAATTTTTTTATAATCACATGACAGAAACAACCATCAGAAGGTGTACTCTATTAATTACAGTTGTAACTTTAAAAGTAAGCTCATCCCGAAAATTCAAATATTTTGCAATGTGCAATAGCAGAAATTAGTAATGCTGGACAGGGATTGGTGGCCCTGTAAAAAAAGAAATTCATTTCTATCAAGACTTTGTTTTTCTAACATCATGAATATACACACATATATATATATATATATATTATATAAATATTTGGTAATGTTCCTGGGTAAAGTTAGTGAAACAAATATAAAAATTTGTGTGGGATCCTTGTACATGTTGCTTTGGAGCTGAACTATAACAACAGATAAAAATTAAAGATGTTTCTTTGTACATGCATGTTGAATTTTTATGTCCTCAGGTGGCTATACATAGAATATACTTCTTCTCCAGAAATGCCTTTTAAAAAGTTTCCCAAAGCTAACCTTGTCTTTGCGAGTTCTAATTTCAGTGGTTTCAACTACACAATTCCAAAGTAAATAATATATAATACTTGTTTATTCTGATTGTTTTCAGTTCTTCAAAATTATAGAGACCTAGAATGAAGATTGTAAATGCATTTCATCTCTTCAGTTTAATGTTACCATACGTTAATCAATATCTTTTTTCTATTAATAGATATTTTCTTTCCTCAGTTGAATATCAATTCTTTAACTGTGATTAAATTATGTTTCTTATTTTTCCTATTATGCATAGAGAGACAAAAAACCATAAGATTGAATCAACATTAAGAGAAATAGTTCAAATAGTAATAAACTAACTTATCAAATGGAATCCACGTGATGCAATGTTTTTCTTTACCTTTTCTTACAATAACTTTGTACTTTGTATTTATTGATATTTATAATTTCCTATGAACATAGCCCATTAACCGGATGTTTTACTTTTTTCAAAAAAAAAAAAGAAATTAAGACTTGGGTGGGGTGGCTGCACTACCTTTACCCAATTGGCTACACTGTTTTGTAAGTGTTTTGTAAGTAATCTGATGGATGTTCCAAAGTTAATAATTATGACGCTACTTTAAACAAGTTATGTTTTAGTTTTATTACAAGCTTTAATTGACTGACGTGGCCATTACATCTATTGCTACTACTTGAATACCACTGTATGTGAAAGAGGTTGATCCATTTTGTATATAACTTTATTATTATGAACACTGGTTTTATATATATATATATTTTCTAGGAGTTGCTTAACTTGTGTTTTTTTATTGTAAGGCTTGAGTTTATGTTTATATCTTGATTATTTTTTTTCTGTATTCACACGTACATGTTGATTTTTTTCTTCCTATGAAAGTATCTATACATTTAAGAAGTCACTTGTCCATTTATTTGTGAAAAATGAGTTAATGTTTTGAGAATAAATTATTATATTATTTCAGGAAGGAAAGCAACGAGGTTTTACTATACTAAAGTTTTCAGTCACTGATGCTGATACTCTTCCAAATACAACTCCATTTACATTTGACATTATCTCTGGAAATGAGGATAAATCCTTCCGTTTAGTCCAGCAAGATGCTTCCTTACGTACTGCGACAATGTTCAACCATAAGTACAAGAATGAATATATCCTCTGCATCAGGGTTTCAGATGGTGGGATCCCACCACTTAGTAGTGATACTTGGGTAACAATCCATATAATTGAAGAAAGTCAGTTTCCTCCTTTGGTGAGTTCTTTGGAAGTTGCCGTCAGTTCATACATGGATGAATTTCCTGGAGGAGTGATGGGACGAGTTCATGCTACCGACAGTGATCCCTACGATAAGCTGTTTTATGACATTGTAACACCTCATAAACATTTATTCAAAATTGATCCAGAAGATGGCACATTAGTTGCATATGAAGGATTGGATGTAGGGAGCTATAGAATTAATGTAAGTGTCAGTGATGGGAAATTTACCACATATGGAACTGCGTTAGTGGAGGTGTCTGTTGTCACAGAAGAGGCTGTTAAGAATAGTGTTGGAATAAGTTTGGATGATATTACTCCAGAGGATTTTTTGCTGTCTTACAGGAAAAGGTTCCTGAGGGCAGTTAGAAACATTTTAAATGTAGGCTTCCAAGATATAGAAATCATTAGCATGCAACCATCCTTAGAAGAATCAGTTAGAAGTCGTAGAAGCATGAGACAAGATCTTGATGTCTTGTTTGCAGTAAGGAAAGGGTTGCAAAGTTTTTATCAACCAAGTATAATTTTAGAGAAGCTAAAAGAAGAGAAAGCATCTTTTGAGTCAATCATTGGACTCCTGGTTGTAAAGGTAAAAGAAAACAAGACTTTTCTTAGGTTTTATTGTTCACTTTCATTTTGTGCCTCAAGTACTTTTCCTTTTTTATTCCCTTTCTAGCTATACATTTATTTATTCATTTGAAGAATGTTGAATTTAGTTTTTTAAATGGACAAGTTTTACTTCTAGTTTATTTAATGTCATATTAAAAGATTCTTTAACTTGAAGTCATTACTTCATTATTTTGAAATCAAAGCTGATCATGCTTATATATTTTATTCAGGTTACTGAAGACAGGTGCACTAAAAATTATTGTGACCATGGAGAATGTGTTGACAGGATTATATTAGACAAAGTGCATGCTATTAGCATCACAACTGATTCCTTGAGTTATGTTTCTCCACAACATTATAGGAACTTGGAGTGTCTCTGTGAACCTGGTTATGGTGGTATGTATTCTTTTTCATTTCTAGACGTAAATGACTACCTAAGGATGGAAAAATATTAACTTCCATTTTTCAAGCACAAATGAAAATATTCTAACTTTTGCATTACTTCTCTTAATGAGGAAGATCTGTTTTTTGAATACCATATTTTTTCATTTAACTTCTTCAAGAGCAATACTTACATGTTTTTTTTTTAATGATAAATGTATTGGGCATTCTATGTTTACTACAATTTTATTTCCCACAAAACCCAAATAATTATTAGAAGAAATATTTGTTCTAAATTTACAGATCTTTGTTGCACGTTAAACACTTAAAAAAAAAAATGCAGACATGCAATTATTGCATACAAATTTTGATTCAGGAATATTTTAACAAAGTAAAGAAAAAATGCCAAAAAGTATATAAACTTTCATATTTATTATTTAATTGGAGAAAAAAACAATTAATTTGACAATGCATTGTTGTGAAAATTCCATGGTATATAACCTATTTTTTCTCACAAGGAAACCACTGTGATCTTGAAGTGAATGAATGTGCTCGCCGACCTTGTCCACAGTATCGCATCTGTGTTCCATTTGGGTCTCTACTGGGTTATACATGTAAATGTCCAGATGGGAAAACAGGTACCTTTTGTGACATAGAAAGAGGAGCTCCTTGTCAAGGTCCTTCATGCTATGAAGGTTAGTTTTAAAAAACCTAATTTGTTTTACATGACATACACAAAGAATGAAGTTTAATACTTTTATATTTACTGATGAATAAACTAACAAGTTATATGTATCTCTGAGAGTTTATTAGCACTTGTTAAGTAATAAATAGTATTAAATTATAAACAAGAAAAGTTGACATTTACTTGTTATAGATTTTCTGTGGAAACTGACACAATAATAAGTTTTTAGTTAGAAAGGATTATATCCTGTGATGATTGTAAAGTTATGATTAAAAAATAAACTCCACATTAAACATACTTTTTCCTTATTTTATCAAAGAAGTTCTTAACTGTAATTTTTCTTTTCAACAGTTATGTCTTACTAATTGCATATTTTTATAAATAGATAATTTGAAAGTTTGGGAAAGATTTGCCACTTAACTATAAACTTGTGTCATCCATCTTATTAAATATCGGAAAGTTCTTTTGATAGACTGAACTTAACTAATATATATAATGCATCAAGTGAAGGCTATAAAATATGAGCTGGTAAATTGAAGCTTTTACTATTCAATACTTTGTCAATTTGTTATCATAATAAAGCATTTCTTATAGAATATCACAAGAAATAATACTGTAGAGTGAAAATAATAATTATTATTTTATTTTCTAGTTTCAAAAATATGCCTATTTGCATTGTAGATTTTGAACAAGTTGAATTTGAATCTATCAAAACATGTACTGTTGATGGAAGTTGTAGACATAGCACCAGTAATATATTTTCCAGAGTTGTTTGATATGAGGTTATTTTGTTATGAGAAATTCTGATTAGTTTCTAATTCTTTGTGACATTTTAAATTATCACAAATAGAGATGAATAATAATGTAAGATCTAAATAGCTGAAGATATAATGTACACCACAAAACATACACATTTGTAATTTTCCTAATAAATGTTTGTAGTGCTCTTAACTTCTAGTTATTTCAGTGTAAGTCTGATTAAAAAAAAAGACACATTCTTTTAACTTATATGTTAAAACACTTTAAAGATGAAATTTTATTGTCTATTTTGGGAAATGAGGTAAAATGATCTTACGTAAAAGCACAAGGCCGATCATGTCGGCTGCAAAAGTCATAGTAATTAAACCACATCTAACCTTATGTGTAGTATGAGAATCTTAAAAGTATATCTTAATAACCATATTCAAAAATTTAATACACTTGTAACTTTTAGCAAATCTTATCATTTATAGTAATAAAGGTGGTATTTTAAAGTTTTATATTTTTAAACCTACTATGTATCTTAAGTTATAAGAATTTTTCTGTTATATTTCAAATCTATAAAATTATACTAATTATTACTTAAACTCTAGATGTTGTTGTTAATAAGTTCTTTGGTATTCTAGCAATTTTGCTGCAAATATTAATTAAATTTTTTAATTAGTTTAAAAATGAGTGTAAATTATCATTACATTTAAATGTGTAAATGCCTATTGTAATTTTTGTTTTGTGAGGAATTGAAAGATACATGTAGTGTATAAGTAAGCATCTCTTATAATAGCTGTTCAATTTAGTTGGTTGAGTAGTTTTTTTTTTGAGAATGTTTGACAAATATGCATATGTACACCCATTCTATAACTGTATACAGATAATTAATTAATAAAGAAAATTAAAGCTAATTGTTTTAAAATTCTTTGTTTCTTTTATCAAAATATAACATTTGTGAATCATTTTTTCTATTAGAGAAACATCCAATTTACTTCAGCGGAAAGAGTTATACTCAATATGAGCTGAACATCCCCTTGAATCGACACTTAAGTGTTGCTTTACAAATCAGAACAAAATTAGCAACTGGAAACTTGATGTATGCTGTTGGACTGAGAGACTATAGCATTTTAGAGGTAAAAGTTCTGTTTATTAGGTGTTTGTATTATATGGTAACAGTTTATTCTATAGTAAATATTTTCATCACCTAGAGCTGGATGTAGCTTAGTATTTAGGGTGTGGGTCTCTCAATTCAAAGACCCATGGTCCTCATCCCATTGCAGAAATATCATATTCCTGACTTTGAGGTGGTGGATGAGTTATAAGAGTGATGTTCCCACTGTTTGACTGGAGTGTAGCTCAAGGGAGTTGGTTGTGGGTACTGTTGACTACTTACCTTCTCTCTAGTCTGTCAGTTCAGAATTTTTGACAACTATCACTAGTGCAAATATCTAAAACAAACAAGTCATCACCTCAGCTCTATCCTTGTGATAGAATAATCTATAATATGAAATATCTCTCAAAAATTTGAATACAAGAATAAATCTTTAAAGTACTGTTAAGGACTATTTGATTTTTGTAGTACTTTAGGTTATAATAAAATTTGGAATTAAATTCTTATTTTTTATACCTTTAAAAATGATGCATTTGCCTACTAAAGAGACCATTCATACTTCTGTTAATTACCATCAAATCATCTCGCTGCTTTAATAGCTAATGTTAAATTTGAACTAACAACTATTAATTCTATTCATAAATAATTGGACATGTTATAGTAATTTTCTTATACTTTGATGATTTCAAATGTCACTTTCATGTTAGAAAAGTCTAGTTTTGTTTAATGATGTGAATGCATTATATTTGTATTGAATAAAACCATTTACCATCTGTATGAAAACAGAAAAAATATTTTATGTTAAAATGTGAAGCTATATTGAATTATTTAAAATATTCAATTCTCTTTAACATAAATTATCTTTATCAATGCACTTCCAAACCGGTTTGACTTTGGCAGTGGTGAAGGATTGATTCGGGTTGAAAATGTGAAAGTGAATGATGGACTGTGGCATGAAATAAAGCTAGATCGGCGTGACAATTCTGCAGAAATAGTTGTTGACAGACAATTTAGAATATCAGGAAAAGCTCCAGGTGTTCATGAACTCCTAAACTTGGAGCGAAATGATATTTTTTTTGGTGCTGAAGTGCAAAGTATAGCTCTGGATGATGTAAGAATGGGATTCATTGGATGTATGGATGATATCCGTGTAGCAGGTGTTTCACTTCCACTGCATTCAGCAGTAAGCAACTCTGTTGCAACTCTACGAAGGTAGGAGTAACTGACAAATACTCATTTGTTTTTTAACTTTTTAGCATACCCAAACCATCAGAGAAGAAGAATTACAACTCATGAAGAACTTATAAATAACTCCAAAAGATTATTTCTACTTTATACAGCATATCTGTAGAAATCTTCCACATATAAACTACTCTACATATTTCATACCTAAATATTACAGTGTTTTGTTTTGTGACGGTTATCTATACACGTTTTTATAGATGGATCATGATATCACTTGATAACTTGAATATTAAATTCCACTAGTCTTTTGCAAATCCTGAAGTAGGATGATTATCACAGAGTGTAATCACTTAAGCTAGAATGAACAAGTTCAATTGAATTTATATCTTCAATGCAGAAATTGTGGTAAGCATATAGCTAAGTTTTAAGTTTCTCATATTTGAGCTATAACTATCTATTTTCCCTTCAGAAATCAGTGAAGACATAATATCCCAGTACTTATTCTATTTGTATAATTTTCAAGAATGTTGTGTATACTGCCATAAAAACCTAGTGAAATTATTATTGCAGAAACTAATATTCTGCTAGTAATTATATAGTTTTTATTAACTACGTATTACCCTTATTAGCATAGTGAGGGTTTCACGCTTTGTTATAATTTTAAGTTTTGATTCTACTAAATTGTGTGCAAATATGAAAGTTATTTTGTAGTCTTCAGAGTAAATTGAAATAAAATGCATCATAGACTATCAAAATACTATAATGCAAGGTCAAACATTCTTTACTTTCACTTTTGTAAATTAAACTGGAAAATGGTTTTGAAGCTTAATCTCTGTATTTATTTTGTACAATAACTTGTAAGTAAGTTTTTCTAAAGTCGGTTACAAAATATGTTCAAGTCCATATGATATATTTTTTTTATAAGTTCCCCACATGTGCACTTTAGTGACATCTTTTTTTTTATAAAGCATTTTGAATAGTTATTAACAATACTGACTTATTTTAATGTTGTAAAGATTAACAGCTTTATAAGTACATATTAAATAACAAAGAATGAACACAAATATGAAATATTTTATTTGTTCTTAATTACTTAATTTGTGCTTATAAAGCTGTTAATCTTTACAACATTTGTAGGAAGCACAAAGTACTACTAAACTTGATTATTGACTTGTTTACTCTAGATTTGTTCGTGTGGATTTCTTTTGTGGTGCTCTGGTTGATCCAGGAGTGTGTGGAAGTCAACCTTGTCATAATGGTGGAACATGCAAGGATTTAGGAAATATCTTCTCCTGTCAGTGTCCACGTCGATTCTCTGGTTCTCGGTGTGAATATGATAGCAATCCATGTGCCTCAAATCCTTGTCTCTATGGAGGAATGTGTTATAATGACAACAATGACTTCCATTGTAAGTGTACACCAGGTCTTACTGGTAAGAGGTGTAGCTATGGTCGTTATTGTAACCCTAATCCTTGTCAAAATGGTGGCATTTGTGAAGAAGGTATTTCTGGACCTATTTGCAAGTGTCATGGTTTTCATGGAAATGTTTGTCAGTTTGATATTGACGAATGCCAAACACATCCTTGTGCTGTGGGTTCTACATGTATTAACTTTCAAGGAAGCTTCCAGTGCCATTGCCAACCAAATATGACAGGACCTTTATGTACAGAATCTCGTTATACCACCTCTATAACATCAACTAGTATGAACATTACCAAGGAAGAAATAATTGGCATTGTTGCTGTGCTTGCTTTCATTGTCATAACTGTCATAATACTTGTTTTTTGCTGTCGTTTCTATCACCGTAAACGTCACCGGAGACCCCAGAATAATACCTTGCAGGAAGATTCAGCTAATGAAATGATACTTAAAAATGCAGTAGGAAAGGACAACTTCAGCAGAATGAGTAAAGTGAGCAACTTGGAAGTAACACCTTTTATAAGACCAACTGTTCCTCCTCGCCCTGCTTCATACACACCCAGTACCCAGGAAGCTTTGAATGTCATGAACAATTTTGATACAGTTCGCAGCTATGGAAGTGCTGCTGATGATCTTGAGAGTATCCCACGTTATAGCCATGAATACTTACAAAACATCAGCAAGCCAGTTGTAAGTGTTGCACCCACTCTTCCTCCTCCTCCACCATCCAATTCTGCATCTGACTCTGATTCAATAGTCAAAGAAGGATGGGAACATGAGAAGGAAAAGGCAAAAGAAATTATATATGAAAACAAGATCCAGAATGGTAGGTATATAACTATGATTTAATGGAAAAAGAAAAAAAAATAACAGCTGTTTTCTCTATTGATCCTACTTAAAAAAAAAAGTGTGGCATATTTATAGATTTAAGAAAATGAGTTTAATTTTCGGCATTTCCTTGGTGATAGTAATTTTAACCAATTAACTTTGAAAAGGCATTACAACTTCTACTGTTACTACTACTACTACTACTACTGATCTAAATCAATCAACTTTCAATTCCATTTGTATATGAAGGAACAAGCTAGAAAATAATCCAGTAAGGGTTAAGTGTTGTAACTTGAAATAATGTAAGATAAATTCAAAGGATTTAGTAGAGTTTGCTTGTTTAACCAAAATTGATTGAAGTAGAAATTCTTCTTACATCCCTTTTAATTTTTTGTTAGTTCTTATTTCTGAAACAGCTTGAAATTAAACATTGATATAAATGATGCTAATGATCTGATTTAGTATAGACAATTTTTAAACAAATTATGAAGTTAAAAGTTGCCCAAATTATATTGAAATCAATGGATATAGAAACAAAATTATATTATTAATATTAATTTCCAGTCAGAGCAAGCTATCTACTTAGAATGAAACTAAAAATCAATCTGGTAATGAGTATAGCTAAATAAGAGTATTTTTCTTACTTCCTTACCTATAAAGATTAGAATTCATTGTTTCATGAGATGGGTCCCTAATTATTAATGGTATTTTTGGCCAACATCGGAGATTTAGGTTAGTCTAACAACGTAAAACAATTTCTTTAATAAAAATTAAACTTAAAAATAATAGAATTAGATATATTCAACATTCTAACCAATATTACTGTTAATGAAAGTGACTTATGAAAAACACAAGCACTGGCTGTTGGCTTCAAGAACTGTTGAAGACTTGTTAATTTACTTTGAGGATGTTCACAAGTTTGTCAGTTTATTGAAATGTTATTATATGCTCTGCAGTGCTCCTAAGCTAATTTTAATTTAACCCCTAATGACTCTTGTTTTGTTTTTTATGTGGATTCATTAAAACTTTATCAGTGCATGTATGCAGTAATCACAGAATAATCTTTACTTCATTAAAAACATTAGAGATAGCATGTTATGGTAGAATGTTTTATGTCACCAGTGTCACCACAGTATACAGTGGTGAAAGTTTGTCAAACTGTCATAGATATATTAGTAAATGAAACATGTTTATCTGACAACTGACCTAAGTGATGAATTTTTTTTAACTTCCTTTGTTTTTCAAGTTTTCAAAACGAGGATATGGTTATTGGGATCCTTTCAGACTAAAAATATAGAATTAACTACTTATGTTAAAAGTTATGAGAAAAATAGTACATAAGTCTAACATATACTGTATTAATCTGTTTACAAGATGATTAAGAAAAGAGATAAAGTACTAAGTTAATATTAACAGTTTTTATTGGGTTTATGGCTGAAAATATTGTTAACAGCAATGTACCAACTGATGAAACATACCCTCACCCTGCCACTCCTTTTTGAGATTGAATGCATTTATATTGGATAACGTAAAATTTCACCTTTGAAAACTCAGAAAATCCTTCTCAGATCCAGAATGATCAATTATCCATATCATTTTTCGTAGTGTGATGAGTCTCAACCTTAAAGTGCCCACTAAATTTAGTACAAATCCGATCACATTTTACCGAGTTATTAACCAAAAAACCGCAAAAATGCCCTATCTCCCCATTATAAAAAATGCTTCAAAGTGATCCAGAATCTGAATAGGAATCCTGACCAAATATGTGGAGGACTGTCCCATACTGATGTTACATCTTGTATAAAATATTTGTGTACATTGGTTTATTAGTTTTCGAGATATGTGTATGAAAACTTACACACAGACCTGATTACAATACCCTCGCAGGGATAGGGTAATAATGCATTCAAATCTTTATGAGTAAGAACATAAGAAAAGTATAGTTGTTTAACTATGCTCATTACCAGATTAATTTTTAGTTTTGCTCTAAGTAGGTAGCTTGCTCTGATCAGAACTCAATATTAATTGTACATTCTAGTTGTAATTTAGAATCAACAATGAAATAGGTATTATGTTATAGGAAATAAACATTTTTGTAATTTTTAATATTTTATCATTTTTTTTTTTATAATGAGTAGTGTTAAATAGCTAATGCAGAAAAACAACTGATTGATTCTATGCCCACTAACAAAGTGCTAAAGCGTTTGTATGATTAATGTGTAATCATATTTTTTACTTGTTACTTCAACAGATCTTAAATCTCAAAAAGTATTGGATCTTCCTCTACTTCCTGTGGTAGTTCCAGTTCTACCATCTAGGGGACCCTCAAGTCTCGGGATATCATCAGAGCCTAGTTCAATGGAAGACCTCTTAGGTAAGTGTAATGTTGAACACCATAAAACTATGGACAGTCTTAAAGAGGTTTTGTATTTTGAGATGTCTTGCTGTGAAATGTTTATAATTTTGTTTTTGATAGTTTTGGTTTTAAAACTTCAGTAAGAATTACTCTTGGAAAGTTATTACTGATTACAAATCACTGGTTATCAATGGTCAACTTTCAGAAATTTCTTTAAGGTTTTAAATTACATTAGTGATTTATTCTGTAAATCGAGTCATTTAATTATGATTTTTTCTTCTTATCACTGATTGTTAAGATTTTACTAAACAAAATAACTTGTAAATGGTAATGTATTATTGTATATACTGAGAATAACAAAAATGCATTAGAAGTATTGATCCAGCTATTAGTCATTTACTAAATGTAAGGTACATATCTAAGAATGTCCTAGATATTATTTTAAGATAATGCAGTAAATAGGAACTTATTATCAAATTTAGTTTAAGATAGATATATTGAATTTTCTATGTCTTTACTTTTCAATGTTAAATAATTGTGGATTTTATTTGTACTAATACTGTCATTGCTGTTAGGGGAATTATCTCTAAAAAGCATTTAAATTTTTTTATCTGCACAAGTCATTGGAATAGGCTATACATAAAAAACACTACTAATCATGTAAGCCATTGTAATGAGAAACACATTAGGAAGTTTAAAAGTAGGCTTACGAATAGTTGTATACCATTTTAGGCTGTACATAGTTTTACCATTCAGTCCAATGTTGTCCCAGTATTAACTAATATCTTTTTGATTCCATTGATTTTTTTTGTTTGCAATGGGATGACAGTAATTTTACAGAAAATTAACCAATGTGATTAAGCAATCCTTGGTGAAATATAATTTGTTCTCATCATTTAATTTAAAGCACTTACACTGGTTTAAGCATTTCATAGTTATTTGTACATATTTATTCATTTCACATTTAAAAGCTGATTGATTAAATGTAAAATCATTAAAAATATTAACAAAATCAGTCTCTGTGGTAACCAAATGTAACTTTCTTGAATCAAGATTTTTTAAAGTGAGAATTATTCTGGTATTAGTTAATTTAGTTTTTTTTCTTCCAAAACATTGTGTGAGTCATTTATGTATGCCATCTTTTATCTGAATTTTCTCTAACTCTCTTTTTTATTCTCAGCACATCCTGAAATAAAAATCATTGGCAGTTAGGCAAATATTTGGTGCACCTAAGAAATATTTCTAGTCATGTCAGTTGAAACCAGACCAATGGCTAATCAATGTTTAGATAGTTTGGTTTATCATCTTTGTCGACCAGATTATCTTAAGGCTCATCTGACCTTAATTGAAACTAATCTCAGACTCTTGGTATACACTGAAGTTCTCTACATGTTTAACTAGCTGGTCTTTACTTCCAAAGCAGTTAACTCTGTTTCAAACCTCACATAATACTCTTTCAAAATAAAAAACCACCAGCACATTGGTGTGACAGTTAGTATATACTGATTAACAGTAGTTTTGAAAAATAGCCAATAGTTTTGTGAATTGAGTAATGACTATATATAAAAAATATTTTTAGGGTATTCTGTATAGGAAAATCCTACACCTTAACTTAGTGAATTGAATTAGTATCTTATCTTTAATCATTTTAGTAAATAAACTGAGGATTGAAATAAATTCTGAAAAATATGTAAGGTGAAACTGAAATAGTGAACAACAAGGTAACTTAGAAAATAATCTATGTAACTATTAACATCTAAATGTAATTTTTTTATTAGATATACAACTTTATATGCTGTCATGTTATTAGAAAAATCTAAAGTTTAATAGTTTTTTTTTTTACCTTGGTGATGGGATAACCTCTTTTCTTTCTGTGTTATTACTCTGCTGTTTAAAGTAGGTTTTGAACTACTAATTAGCTATGTCCTTGTTTTCATTCACCTCAGACCAGCCAGAGGAGAAGAAAGTTAAGGATTCTAAAGAAGGTAGAGGTTTTTCCAAAAGCTTTTAAACCTAAATAATTACTACTCTAGAGCATCTTCTTTGTGTGGCTCTTGTTGCACGATAATAGGCTGGAATCTTTTCTCTCTCCATTTAGAAAGAAGCAAGTGTCCTGTTAGTTATATTTTAAACTTCTTTTTCATCAGCTTATCCTGTTTAACCTCTTTTTTATTCAGCCTTTCCTCCCACATACTTATCTGCATGCATTAAGTATAATCTGTTAGATTTAGTGTCTCAAAATAGTCCAAATGACTTCATTCAACTTTGCCTGCAGGAATATAATTAGGGAGTTAATTTCTTTGTTTACAGTTACAGATACTAAAGAAAATAACTAGCTGAAATATGTCTTAAAATGTGTGTGTGTGTGTGTATTATATATCTTCAGAAAACCATTTTCTGGTAATAAAAAAATGAGATTTTTGTTTAGTAACTACTTTAAAAAAAGCTTGTGAATAATTAATACTATAATAATAGTGTTGCTGTAAATAAATATTTTGACCTGAAATCATAATTCCCTTATTCATGTATAATTTCATATAGCAATAACAGCTGTAGTATAACCTGCAAAGTTGTGCTTATTAATAGTGATTTTCAATCATGACCAAGAGCAAAAAAATAGTTCACCAGTTAAACATCAAATCATTGAAAAATATTATGATATACTGCAGAAAACAAATCCTTTTTTTCATACTAATTAGCAAAAATACCTACACCAGGACTGATATTTATTTCCTTGTCTTAGTGGAGATGGTGACACTAAGTAGGAGCAATGGTTGTTAAACTTATAAAACTGAAAAAATTAATAAGGAGTTTCAGAATCACTTTGGGACATACCCAAGCCACCCTGAAAGCTTATTTTCATGTATAAGATGTATCAATGAGTATGTTTTACAGACTTCAAAGACACGTTATTTTTGGCACAAATAGTCCAGCAGGGGGAATAATGCGTATATTAAATGCACAGTTTTGATCATTTTTAAAGCTGTGATTTGTTGAAGTCTTTCCCTAATGCCACAAAAATATGTGTACAGGAATATGTTAAGAGTACAATATCCCACATCTTCACCACACTTCTATTTAAATGGGTAGCAAAAGATCAATTGTAAAATTGTTTGTAGCTAGGAAAATTAAAACCATAAAAAGAATACTGTTAAATATGCTTATACAAAAGGTAATTCAAAAAAATTTATGTTTTTGACCTTTGATCTTTCAATTACACAACTTATTCATTTCTAATTAGTAATTCATATGCCACACTTTGGAATATTTACTTTGGATTAAGAAGCTAACAAAAAAAAAAAGAACTGAGCTTAATTTTAAAGAAAAATTTAAAACAAACATCTACAGAACTACACTTTATAGATGCATTGGTTTTAGTTACCAAAAAAAACGATAAGTTTCAAAACCCTTTGTTAATTAATGAGGCAAAAAAAATTGTTTGAACATTTCTGCATAACTCGCAAGTCATAAAACCAGTACTTTTAATCTCTTTAGTCCTACTATACTGAATAAAAATATTTGGGTATGAATTTGGTATTACTGATTATTAACTGAAAGTAGTCAACTCACAATTTTATTTTCTCAACAGCAGCATATTTTACAGATAAAGATATTTCTTTATTTCAGTGGCTAATTCTTTGGGTTTTCTAACTCAACCTATACTAATAATTCATAGAAGTATCCATCTACTATTAGTCAGTTATCATGATATTCTGAAGGACTTTTATGGCTAAAACAGAAGGGGAAAATTTTTCTTGCACTTGTATTGACATGTTCTTTTTGTTTGTAAGAGTAAGATTTACACTTTAGTTGCTCTGGTTGTCATAAAAAAAAAACTTTACAAAAGTCAAATTTTCCTTTTAGTATAAGCAATATTTGATTTAATTAAAAAAAAAGTGAAACAGACATTATTATATAGTTTACTTTTTTTAAAGACAAGATAACTTTTTTAGTTTAATGTTTATTAAGAGATAACTTCTTATTTCACATGTGTGTTAAATTTCTTTCACTTGAAGTCTTCCATGAGACTTAAGTATAGTGATAAAACCTTAGAGCAGCCTTTTACTACAGTAGCTGGAACAGGATTGAAAACCCACTAAAAAAAATTGCATTTTGTTTACAGTTATGCTTATTTTATTGTAGGTTACCACTGGGATTGCTCTGATTGGGCTACTAATCAGAAACCTCTTGATAACATCACCGAAATCTCTTTGAAAGAAGTTCCGGATTCATCCAGTGTTCAGAGTGCAGATACTCATAGCCAAAACAGTCAGATAGAGTTACTCCCAAGTGAAGATAGACACGGGCTCTTTAGAGTTCAAGGTACTGATGAAAGTGTAGATGTGGACTTTGCCATATCAGACATTATTGGTGGGTCAGAGTACAATGACAGTCAAGTGGATGATGGTCATCTTCAGGCCATTTTAGAATTAAGTGATATGGACTTTGTTGATGGAGAGGAATGTGCTTCTTCCTCACCTTTTAAGTACACCTGCCACCCTAACCAGTATTTACCAATTCATGAAAAACTCTGGAACAGGCCTAGAAGTCGTAGGCCAACTACCTGTGACCAGTCGGAAGATATCATAGCTTATGGGTTTCCACCACAAGGAGGCAGAGGATTCATGGTTGATGCAGCTGGAGATCTACCTCAGAACTCTAGACTGGACTGTTTATCAATGTCAGCAGGAGGCTACACTTCCACTAATGCTTCTTGTTCTGACCTATCTGCTAATGTATGTGAAATAGAAGACAGTGAAGTGAATAGTGATGTAGAAATTGACTTTAGCAACAGGAATATATCTAATGGGAGAGGAAGACAAACTATTGGAACTGTTATCTAATGTTATTATCAGTCTGTCGCTTTTTTTTGTACAGGTGATTACCTTCAGCCTTGATTTTCTTATCTGTTAAGTTACAAAAAAAAAGCACATTCTCAAAAATTTCATACAACATCAAAAAAACATGAAGAGAAAAGCTTTGCTGGGCAACCTTCCAAAAATTTTGAGGAAGATGCACACTGTGCCAAAAGGTATTAATATTTCACTCAAATTGGGTAGTTCATCAAACACCATGCTGTGAATCACACAGGTGACAATGGGATTAACTATGGTTAACTTGCTTCCATTTTTTGTTACAGTTATAAAAAAAAACATGTTCATTCTTGCTTTTAGTCTATTAGTTAAAAGAGACTTAAGAATTTATAGATAATAGTTGTTCAGTTTTCAATTACTGATTTAAAAATAAGCATTTGTGTACATAGTGTTAAATAAAATAAAATAAAAACGATTGGTGACATTAATCTTTAAGATATAGTTTATAGGCTTTGTATTTTAATTATTAAAGTTACAGTAAAAAATGAAATCAATAATTATTTGAAGTTGACAAAGTAGAGTATAGTTTATACATTTTATTTAATCTTGCAACATTTGGTAGTGGCATAAATGTTTTTATGTTACATGCATGTTACATGATTGTTGTATTGTACCTAAAAAAAAACTATTTTAGAAACCATTATGAGTCATTCATGTTTTAAAGTTCAAAAGAATCTATAGATATTATTTCTGGTGGAGGGTTTTGGTTTCCTGTGATATTTTTTTTAACCAGAAACCATTACAATTTGATCTAAGTTGTATGCTTAATTTTTCAACTAAAACTTGCTTGATTTCCCGAATATCTTAAGTTTTGTAACAAGTAATTATTCTCTACCTTATTTTGTTAAGATCCCTGAATTTTGTTTAGTTTGTGACTAAATTATATATGTATAAAATTCTTCATCAGTGGCTATCAGAAATGGACAAATACTACTTGGCAGGGATCTGAAATAATTCTCGATCTGTTTCCATTTAGTAATTGATAACATTTCAATGTTTTGAATGCAATCTTGTAGCTGAATTCAGACTAATCTTATATTTTAAGATTTGTTTTATATTTTGTTACAAAAAAGGGGAAGTAGCAAAGGAACTTGTATCACTTTTTATTATTTTATAATTACACTTAATGTTTGTCAATATTGATTGAGTGTATGAAAGTAGGTTTGTAAATATTTTTCCTAAAAAATTAGTTCTGTTTCTTATTAGAGTAAATGTTTTTTCTGTAATCTTTTTTTTTTTTTATAATTTTCTGGTTTCATATGCATGTTTGTGTAATTGTTTTTCTTAGCAGTATTACAATTGTTTAAGAATTGTATACTACAAAACTGAAAGAAACTACAAACCTATTCTTTGTATTATTATCAATTATAGCATTTTTATAAAAAA